CAGGCTTTAGGATAAACACAGTATTTAAACTTAATGTTTTAAGTAATAATACTCTAGCTTTTTAGTTTTTCAACTATTTTAATGTTCTAGGGGAATAAAAGCACATCATAAATGGTTAAGAAACATTACTTGAGTGAATGGATCTGTATTTCTTAACACTGTAAATTACTTGGATTATAAGATGCAAACTTATTTCATACTGTATTTATGTGATTTTAAAACTTTTAAAAAGATTTAATATATATATATTTCCATAGGGTGTGTGGATCCACAATAGAGAGACAGGGAGAGAAGGAAACTAAGAAATCACCCCCCCCAGGAGGGATGGCCACTCCACAATCCCTTCTCCACCATTCTCCTCTCAGGATTTTTGGCATGCACACATGTGCTGGGCATGTTTTTCAAGTCACCAGGTCTGGGACTTAAACTATGGAGTTGGCCATCTGGGATCTTATGCCTTAACCACCACACCCACCACCTGCTGACTCAGTTTTAATGTTTCACATAATTTCTTACATTTAATTCTTGTATGTATTTACAGGGTACAACATGGACTTTCAAAGCATGTGATAATCAAATCAAGGATATTATTATACTAGTCATTTTCAACAAAGACCACCACATATGATGTATATCTTCAATTTTTACTCCACTAGCTAGCTAGCTAGATAGATATAGCTATAGACATATATATATAAATAAAATCAAGGCCAGAACTAGGAGAAAGTAAGAGAAGCACCTGCTTCAGGTACAAAATTTAGAGTGAAATCAAGTAATGAGGACAAATATTTTCTCAGTACAATATTTTTCCCTCTTGTTTTATTTATATTTCATCAATGTATATTTGCAGCATATATATATATATGTATATATAAATTATAATCGATTTAAGAAAATCCATGATAAAAAATCCAAATTCTATTTTTAGAGTGTACACACACACACACACACACACACACACACATAACTGGCAATGTTCCTGTCCTAGCCAGTGCAATTAGATAAGAGAATGAAATAGAAGGTATTCAAACAGGAAAGGAAAAGGTTAAATTGTCCCCATTTCCAGATGACATAATTATATGTATATATAAGAATGTACAGAAAAACTCCTAGAAGTGATAAAGAAATTCAATAAAGTTGCAGGATACAAAATTATTATTTAAAAAAATCTATGGCTTTTTAAAAGATACCAACAATAAATGGAATGAAGCGGAACTTAAGAAAGCAATCTCTGGAGGACCAGCAAGTGGTGTGGTTATTAAGGCACTGGACATTCCCACATAGCAACAGTTCAAGTCCTGGACCTGGTGGCTTGCTTTCTCACTTTCCCTCTCTCTGTGTGTCTCTCTCTGATCAATTTTTAAAAAATGAATAAATAAAGTAACTCTTTAAAAAAAGAAAGCAGTCTCTGAAGTGTATTCATGTTGGATAAATTCAACTTACAAATTAAGTGATGTATAGAGACTCAATGTACAAAATAAATGAAAATGATAATAATAAAAAAAGCAATCTTTTACAATAGTGCAGTTTTATTCAGTCTCTTTCTCCCTCTGGTGGATACATATGAGACCACAGGGGTAAAGAAAAATACCAAGCATAGCTTGACAGGTAAGAAAAATTCCTCTTGTGGGGCTTTTTCCACCTCCCTCCCTCCCTCTCTCTCTCTCTCTCTCTCTCTCTCTCTCTCTCCAGTGAATGTAAGCACCGTCTCACAAAATTTTAAAAATAATAGCACTAAAATAAATGAAAATAAATAAATGGAGCTCAGATTGTGCTCAGATACAAGAATCCCTAGTCTTTCATTCTTTTTTTAAAAATTATTTTATTTAGTTTTATTTATTTATTTATTTTTATTTTATTTGACCACAGAGGGACAGAGTGAGAGAGAGAGAAAAACAGAGAGAATGAAAGTGAGAACGCAAGCCACCAGATCTGGGACTCCAACCGTGGTCAACCATGTGGGAGTCCAGTGCCCTTGACCACCACACCACCTGCTGGCCCTGTCTAATCTTTAATTCTTACATCAATTTTCTGGGAGCTCTTAAGCCAGCACTACCTTCTTGCCTAAATCTACAGAAACAAAAGCTCAAAACTTGGGCTCAAATGTGTGGACAGTAAAAGTCTCCTGAGATGTGTCTGGAAGGCGACCATTTGTGAGAAACATTGAGCTACAACATGATTACATTTGTGACTGGTCAACAAACAACGAAATATAACATTGTGGCTCTTTACAAGCTACTAATTTACACACCTTTTTGTTATTATATAGATAGTATTCATTATTTTAAAAAACCTCTTCTGCTATTTCATTAACTTCTAAATAAAATAGTTTGTTTTCATAATACAGTTATTGATTTCTTCCTATTTCTCTTTTATTGCTTATAGATTTTATTCCAAGTTGTTTTATTTTTAACCACCTAACTGAGGCATCACTGACATAATATAAACTGCACACATTTATAGTGTATAGTTTTATATGTTTTGAAGCACATATACACCCATTAATATATAGCCTCGCTGAAGGTAATGAACATATGCATCCTTCCAAAAGTGCCGTTGTATTTTTTTTTATATCCATCACTTTTATCCAAGCAACTACCAATCCCCTTTCTTACACTATGGGTTACTACTTGGCATTTGAAAAACTATGCAATACTCCAGTGTTGAATAAAACGTTCTTTCATAAAGGAAAATCAGCCCAAAAAAGTCAAAAATTTTAAAGTAAAGAAAAATTGAATTCATCTCTCTCAGTTTATGACATATGAAGCAAATAAAATTAAGCACTGAACAACTCTCCATAGCTCAATTAGTATGGTAGACCTGCTTAGCGATACCAGATCCATCCTATATATGAATGGAGACATCTTTATATCAAGTGTTTGTGGAAAAGTAACACAATTTGACCATTTCTATAGACAACAAAAAATAGTCTTAAATTCCAAAACTAGCACTATACTGCTACAAATTCTTTAAGCATAATATAAAATATCCTAAAGAGCATGGAGGTATGTATAAGGAACATGACCATGAGAATTTTCAGTGAGAGACAATGACTAGGCTCAGTTCTGAGTACAATAGGGGTGGGGAGAATTCATATATAAACATGCTCATGTGACTGGAGTACACCACACACTTGGCTCAGACTTAAACCATAGCTGGCCATGTGGAATCCAGCACATTAACCCATCGTGTCACCTGCTGACCCCAAGAGAGTAGATTTTAAGTAAAACTATATGTATACATGAAAACATCTTCTTTTATACTATAAATACACACAATGTAAGCATGTAACTTTAAAAATTACTAAATAGGGGGACCAGCAGATGTTGTAGTGGCTATGTGGTTGAACTCACATGGAGTCAACTGCATGTGGTTCAAGTCCCAGACCTGGTGGCTTGAATCCATGCTGGGCATGTGTGCATGTGTGCCCAAGATCCTGAGAGGAGAATGGAGAAGGGATTGCAGCATGGCCATTCCCCCTGAGGAGTGATTTCTCGCTTTCTGCCTCTCTCTCTCTGTCTTTCTGGAGAGTACATGTGCCCTATAGCAAAAACCTCTCAAAAAAAAATCCACTAAATAAATAAAATTCTATCAAGAAAGTTTTTCTCACAGACTTGTAGAAGCATGAAAATGGTTAAGGATACAGAAGACAGTGTGGAAAGAGGGTGGGAGATGCGGGAGAGTGAGGCGAAGGAATCAAAGAGAAAAGACACTTAAGGGACAGAATTGGAAGCTTGTCTATTGATGATAATGTGGATTATATCTGTAACTGGACTGCTGTGCAGTGTATTCATGTTGGGTAAATTCATTTTACAAGTTGTAGTGATGTATAGGGATTGGATATATAAAATAAACAATAATAATTTTAAAAAGAATAAAGATATGACAACAGGAAATCAATATTGAGTGGAGAATAGAATTGTTTTCAAGCTGCCACATATTGACCATGCAGTGATGAGGGTTTGGTACAAGAATTATGAATGGGGGACAAGAAACAGCATGCTAAAGGGTAAGTAGTTTAGTAGAGAAGAGTTGAGGGTGATAGTTTAATCTTCCATGCAATGTATGCCCTTGTAAATTATGAAGCTCATTTCTTCCATGAAGATCCTGTAGAACTAGGAGTGGTGTTCAACATGCAATGAAAGGCCTTCTGTGGATTGCTGGGGGTCACCAACAAATGATGTCACTCTTCACAGTCTTGCTGAAGCATCATCTGGAATTCTGCTGTGAGATATTTTGCTGATTCTGCCACCTGCTCTTCCTAACCCGGCCAAATCCCTCAACGCAGTCTTCTGAGATGACCACCCACAGCCCCTTGGGAGCACAGGATCACAGAGCTCATTGCCTCATGATGACGTGGTCCCCAAAGGCTTGGTGGACCATGATGAAATCATAGGGAGAGGGAAGTCCAAAACATGTTTTTGAGATTGTTTTCCACCAGAGTGGAGGGTGACAGGTGCAGAGCCTCAGGGCAGTGGATACCCACAGCTCCTGGGTGGGACCAAATGAAGCACTGAAAAGACCAGGAAGCTGGCACTGTTCTGATCATGGTGACACTGAGGGCAAGGTCTCATAGCCATGACCCCTTATATAATAAATACCTCCTTTTTGCTTCTGACCGTGCCCACCTGGTATGCTAGTCTCTCACATGCTTTCCTCCGGTTGAGAGCATATGTGAGGGTGGAAAACAGCTGTGCCCTATGAAGAAATCAGTTCTCACTGGAGAGCTCTCAGTCTACAGATACCACCCAGCTCCACCTTCCTGACTCAGCCTAGACACAGCTCTGTCTCCTACTTGGGCAGACCCCAAGATGACTTTTGCCTTCATTTGCCTCTTGCTTCTCCTGCAACCTGTCTATACACACTGTGCAGTTGCTTTTGAAACCTGTTTTCAATATGTCAACCAAAGTGTCTACAAAGATGGAAATCTAATACTGGGTGGATTTTTCCCCCTTTACACTGTGAAGCAGGATTATGACATACTGCGGCTCTCTGCTGCGATGAGGCCAAGGGAAGAACTGGAAGCTATTTCGTAAGTTCTTAGTTGTTGGTGTAAGTGCATTTATAAATGTGCGTGCTTGTAGTTGCCTTCTCTCTGTGTGTATAATTATGAAAAGCATTCACAGAAGTGACATAGAGATGTGTTGCCTCCTTTTTTTCTTTTTCTTTTTTTTAAATTTTTGCTGTAAGAGTGTGTGGTCACCAGAGAAATACAGAAAGAGAAAGAGGGAAAGTGAGAAATCACTCCCCAGAAAGAATGACCACACCACAATCCCTTTTTCTCCATTCTTCTCTTGGGATTTGGGGCATACATGCATACACACCCAGTGTGCTTTCCAAGCTGCTAGGTCCGAGACTCAAATCGTACGCACAGCCACGTGGGAGCCAGCTCCCTTAAACAACTTACCTCCTGCCTGCCCCCTCCTTATCTTTCTACTACCTTCTTTTCCTTTTCTATAATTTCTCCCCACTCCCTTCAAGAGAGTAAGGAGAAATCAATATGATCACTCTACTCCAGCAGCCTGCTCGGCAAGTTCAGTCCCTAGAAAGTTTGGTTTGATGGTGTTGGATTTCTCCACTACCATAATACTGAGAGTGGGGCAGACAATTATCCTGAGATGTTAACCCATTGTTATGAAGTCAATATCAAGAGAGGCTTGCTCTGGGTGTCCACTGCTGACAAAGAGCATTGTTGAATGTGCCTGCCAGAGAGGTCATGGGTGTTGGCATCCCCCCCACTCAGCAGATCATAACCCACATAAAATCCGTGTTTAAATCTTGTCAAGCATGAGCCGTTTGGTCTCAGGATCTTGAGAGGTGAAAGTAATCAACATCATGTCTCAAAGGAGGAGGATACCATTCTCTTTCATCGTGATTCTGAACTTTTCTAGGAAAAAAGCAGTGGCACTAAATCTAGGCTGAATCGGTTGGGTATGGGTCTCAAATGAATGCAAAACGCTGGTGCACGATGAGGGTTCTCAGCAGAAGGCTGTGTTCTGTGCATGCTTCGTTGGTTGCAACAGTGGATTAGGCTTGTAAAACACTGTATATCTCCATTCCCTTGTCTTCAGTAAAGGGGCAAGCAACATATAGTTTGTTTCCATGGGGAGATTCTAACCTTAATTATTTCATTTGGGATCATTTAAAACTTGTCACTTCAGGTGTCCCTGCACTGGAGAGAGCCAATAGTGAGGATGGTGATCTTCTGGGTACATTTTCAGCCTCCTTGTCTCTCCTTTGTGAGAGAGCCTCTGCCTGCCCAATAACCGTTCCTTCTAGCTATTGATAGTTTGAGTTTTCTCTATCATTCGTCAAAATAGGAAAGGGAACATGCTACATCCATGATTTCATGCATGTTCATTTGCTCCTTTGCTGACAACTATTTATTGTTTTCACTCTACTAGAGTTAGGGTGGCAGAAAGGGATGATCATGGGGGCCTGCAGGTGGTGTGGTGGTTAAGGTGTTGGACTCCCACAGGGCCAATCACGGTTTGAGTCTTGGACTTCATGGCTACATTTCTCACATTCCCTCTGTCTCTCTCTGGTGAGCATATGTGCCCTACAGCAAATCTAAATAATAATAATAAAGAAAATTAAATAAAAAATATTTTTTAAAGTGATGATCAATGGCTAACCACACAACTGATATCAGGCGTTCTTGTGGAAAGGAGTCACCTGTCTTACCGAGGAGGCCAATGTCAGGTGCTAAGTGAGAATCCTTAGGCAATGTCACAAGAGTGATGGACAAACTCTGCACTCTGTTTAATGTCTGCCAACCTGAAAAGTTTCTGAGCAGAAGAGGCCTTAGGCCTCCTATGGTTGTTGATCCCTGAAATTTTTTACTCTTGTCATCTTGTGGAATTCGCAGTGTGAACAAAACTCCTTTTATAAAATAAGTAATAATAATAAAATAAAATACAACCATACAAAATGATGAAAAACCCACCCGAAAATGCCTCAGATGGGCACAGTTTAAGAGAAGAACCATACAAAATGCCTGAAGAACTAGAAAGTCAGATCCTCTTCCGACCGTTCCGGAACATAGGGCAAACAAAGAACACTGGTATATTGGCTAATGAACCTAAGGAGAAACATATGACCACCACAAAAGGGTGTATGAAGATGGATGTAAGCCCAGTGAACGTAGCAACTAATTGAGTAGTGTGTTTCAGTATCGCTGAGCCTAAATTTCTAATGTACTTTTCACAAAAATTTAATATTTGTAGTAAGGGACATGTTAATTAATCACTCCACATTGTATTCAAAAAAATCATGAATCACTTTGTACATATAAATACATACTTATAAGTTTTTAGTATATAATTTTAGGTTTATTTCTATTGTGATTGTAGAGAGATGGGGAGGAGACAGAGACAAGCACCCCAAACAGTCTTTCTTCATGCCACCTCAATTTGAAGCCAGGCCTAGGTCATGGATATATGCCCTCCTGATGTATCAGGTCATCAGACAGTCGTGAGAGTATGACAGAGGGGAGGATCTTGAGCACCTGTACATAAGTTTATCCTTCTGGTCTGTATCTGCATAGCCTTGGCCAGTTTACTTCCTGTCCTTGTATATTCACCAGAACTCGATCACAAGAGTCCTTACCCCAGTGCTTTATCATATCCAAGGTCACATCGTGGCACACCATGAAGGGATTAAGTTTTCACCTAACACCTTTACAATACAACCAAGTCCCAACACATGAACTGTTAGAGGTATTTAATCACTACTCACTATGACAAAATTCTAAATCATGAAAACTTGGGGATAAACCATTATCCAGCCCACAGCACCTGTAATCATTATTCACATTGCCTCCATAGCTCCATATGAATTCATGGGAATCTGATAGCAGGCTGAGTCTAAGCCTTCCTGACTCTTAACTTGCCTAAAGCGTTGCCCCTAAATCACATGACTTGCCCATTGCTTCCAATGTTTTCCATCTGCTCAGGTGGTATTGGAAGAACTACCAATATGTACTGGCCTTTCTCTTTGCCATTGAGGAGATCAACAAGAGCCCGCATCTACTCCCCAACCATTCCCTGGGTTATGATCTCTACAATACCTTTCCCAGTGACAGAAGGTCCTTGCAGGGTGCTGTGTTTGGGCTCTCTGGAGGGAAGCAGACTCTCCCTAACTACAACTGCCAGGCTCAGAAGCAATCTGTTGCTATCCTTGTGGGAACCACATCAGCATTGTCATTTGAGATTGGAACCCTTCTAGAGCTCTACAAAATCCCACAGGTAAGTGGATTTTAAATGCTGTAAGGTAAAATTTGGATCTCACCTATCATTTTCTGATATCTGATAGAATTATGGAAGATGGGTTGCTATACCACTTGAGAGTCATCAACTGATGAGTCTCAAAGAAGTCCCTGGCTTGTCATACTATTAGCAGTTACAAGGATGATGAAGAACTGAAAGAAGCAGGAGATACTGTGAATGTCAACCAAGAGTCCCATCTACAGTCAATGTATGCATCCTCTAACGTCTGGAAATATTGACTGTTGACCACTCAGAGATGTGTGCTTCAGAAGTAATGTCCATAGTACAAATATCTGCACCATCCTAGGATATGGCATTATAGGGGGCACCCAGAAGAAAATGACTGTGGCAGGGATGACACGATGGACATCCGATCTCTACTTGAAAACCTATTATTGTGATGTCCCAGTCTGAAGAGCCCAAAGACTGTCTAAAACTGTTACACTTCTTGTGGGTGACCTCCTTCCTCTTCCTAGTTCTGCCTTACATCCGTGCAGGCAAATACTCTAACAGCATCCCCAGTAAACTCTCCATATGTAACTAACCATCACAGGAATCTTTTCCTTAGGACATGTCCAACACAGTCAGCAATGAAAAGGCATCACTGCTAAACACAGTGGAAGCTAAAAAGAATTCTGTTCTGGAAGATCTATGTTCTAGAAAATAAGAGAGGTTAATGATTATATTGTGTAAGGTGACTTAGACTATGCTATGGTATTAAATTAAGTACAGTGAATCAAAAGTCTGATACAGTAAAGATTGCTAGGTCAGAATTCACTTCCAGCTTTGGTTGAGGGAGTAAGGAAGCACTGCTCCAGCAACCCCAGGGAGTGAAGATGACAAAATCACCCTCTTGTTGATGTACCCTCAGCATCGAGGTAGTCTTCATCAGCACTCATCACTATAGCAGGCTTTCTCTTCCCCCAATATCTCTATTGCCTGATCATCTCAGGTAGAGAATCTTCTCAATCTGTTCCCAAGGGAGTCAATTCCAAATACCAATAAAATAAAAGGTTATTTCTTTTCTCATTTAGGTCACATATGGTCCTTTTGATCCCATGCTAAGTGATATAAAACAGTTTCCATCACTTTATCAGATGGCCCCCAGGGACACCTTTCTGACCACTGGTATTGTACGGTTGTTGCTGCATTTTGGATGGATGTGGGTGGCTCTCCTTGTATCTGACGATATACAAGGGGATCGATTTCTTCAGGATCTGAAAGCAAAGATGGTAACCAATGATATCTGTGTGGCCTTTACACAAAAGCTCCCTGCCATCACAGGTGTGCACACAATCCAAGATATTGAAATTATCATTTCAACTGCACATGTGCACATATTATATGGTGATTTAGGGAGTCTCTTGAACATAGGCATGTCAACAAATTTTCACTTAACCGCAGGGAAGGTTTGGATCATGGGAAATCCATCTACATCACAGTGGGATGTCGTTTTTGATTATTTGGATGACAAGTGCCACTATTACCATGGAAGCCTCTTGTTTTCAGACAACAAGAGGGAAATCCCTGGCTTCAGACACTTTCTCAGGATGCTTAACTTTTCCCAATACCCAGATGACTATTACTTCACAAAATTCTGGATTGACCAGCTTTATTGCTCACTTTCTGAATTACATTGTGGGAGAATTGAATCCTGTGAACCAAATTCTTCCTTAGAGTTTATGCCAGACAAAACTGACATGATGAGTGTGTCTGCTCCTAGTTATTTTGTCTATAATGCTGTTAATATGGTGGCCCACGCCCTCCACAAAAGGCTTTTAGAAAACCTAGAAGTGAGATCTCTAGGAGATGTAGACCAGCCTATAATTCCTCCCTGGCAGGTAAGCGGCCATGCATTGATTGCTTGATGGTATGTGGGAGTAACTTATTGAGACACAATTTTGACAAAATTTTCTTCTCAGTATCAACAAGATCAGGTAAAATAAAAGGAGGGTTCTTCCATGCTGAATATTCCTGTATTACATTTATTTGGAAAGTTCCACCACTGGGCAGTTGAATTTCAAATTATTAATATTTAATTCTTTTTAAAATGTTTTTTTTTCATTTCATTTTTTTTATACATTAAATCACATTATTATTTGGCTTACAAAATGGATATTTCAACAGCTGAACATTTCTCCCTAGTACAGTTGATAAAACTACAAAATATCTTCAACAGATAATACCACATTGCTTTGTGCCATTAATGCTTTGCCTCCCTATTTTTCTTCTAAATGTCCTTCCTCAGACCCCCCTCTTTCACATACACTATATCTGGTATTTACATCTATATACGGTGTTTCTATATCCTTTAGTCAATTAGTTTCAGTCATAGAGTGCGGACACTCGGTATCTATTAAGTAGGGACATACAATGCCTCTCCTTCATAGCCTGGCTGCTTAATATTTAATTCGAAAGTGTATTAGGAAAAATATTCCCTAGTGTAGGATGAAACACTGTAAAATATCTAAAGATAACTCATGAGAAAACATCAAAAGATAAAATATTTGTCAAATCTAATCTTTACCTCAGACTGTACCCTATCACAGAAAATACTCACAGGATGGCCACAGCTGACTCCAACTATTACACTTATAGTGATACATAAGCTATGGCACAAACCCTCCATGTAATGCTTGGGCAAAAACAGAATTGAGTTTTATGGAATTCCTAAAATGACTATGAAAAATAACTTGTTTTCAGACATCATTATTCATTTTTTTTCTAATTTGCATGAAGGCATGTGTGCTCAACAGAGAGCAACAGAGAAAGAGAGAGATAAAAAGTGAGTAAGTATCCTCCCCAGGTGGGATGGTCTTGATGCAGACCTTTCTCCTCCATTTCTTTCTCCTTTCAGGATTTTGAGAATACATGCCCACACTCTTAGTGTATTCCAATCCCCAGGGCCTTGTATTCAATCTGTGTGGTCGGCCACATGGATTCCAGTCATCTAAACCACCACACCACTAGCTAGCCCTGGACATAACTAATTTTTTAAAAGATTTGTTTAATTTTATTCATTATTTTTATTTTTTAAATGAAACAGAGAAAGGGAACATGAGAAAGCAAGCCACTAGTTTGGGACTTCAACTGGGCCACATAGCATAGGAATCCTGCACCCTAAACACCACACCACCTGCTGGCCCCCAATATAAAACTTTTGAAGAAATGTGTCATTATTGGGAACAGCAGATGGCATAATGGTTATGTTCCTGGATTCCCATTTTTGGAAGTCCAAAAATGGGAATATCAATTATTCAGAATGTGTCCATTCCATAAAACTGAAGACATAAACAGCAGATATGGAAACAATAAGGAGTTAATCATTTTTTACAACAAAGTGGCATTGTCCCCAGAGGTATGAGAGTTAGCACAATGTATGGGAAGGTTATGTTTATCACATACTGTTCTCTGCAATATCTCAAGACAATCACATTCTCACCAAAATAAAGTTCTACAAGCATAAAGAGAAAAATCCTTATGTGGTGCCCCTTTATTTGAAGCTTTATTGAGGTATAATAAATATATTTAAAATGCACATATTTAATGAATAAACTTTTGTGAGTTTGGACATACATGTTCCTGCTACTAGTACCACCATCAAAAAAACTCCATAAACATATCCAACCACATCGTACCCTATTGCGTGCATAAGAATTAGCCTCCATGTACCCGAACCGGACTGTATTGGTCATGAGACACTAAAGCCCAGGCATAAGACAAACTATGGGCAACATCCTAACATTTTTCTTATAAAACCCAATTACTCTCTGATTGTATGGATCAGGAAGAAAAAAGGTCATCTCTCTTCAGCCCACAAGATGTTAAACACACACACACACACACACACACACACACACACACACACACACACAGCCTCTACCAAAAGGAAAGCATGAAGACAGAGAAGTGGATCTAGGAGGATTACATGATAAATATGGACCCTCTACCTCTACTGGGAATGCACTGCTCATTTCTAAATTATGCCTCTCCTCCAGCTTCACCCATTTCTAAGGAAAATCCAATTTACAAACGGCGCTGGGGACAACACATCTTTAGATGACAAGAACAACCACGTGACACAGTATGATGTCCAGAACCTTGTGAGATTCCCCGATAAGAGTTGGGTGCTGGTTAAAGTAGGAGAGTTTTTCTCCAAGAGTCCACATAATCAAGACTTGGTCATCAATGAAGAGATGATAAAATGGCCGGTTATATTCAGAGAGGTACTACAACATTTCAGTGTTGGATATAGACAGAAGTATCTAAATGGAGGGCTCAAATCAGATTGAAGGTCCCAGCACTAAATTCATGTGTCACCTCTTGATTTTGGACTTTGTGACCTTGCTTATCTATATTCTTAGCTAATACCTATACAGAACATGGGTTAGTATGCCTTGCTGCTTTTTAATTTGGGCACATTTTTTCAACCAACCATGGGGCAAATGAATTAAACAAAGTGAATAAAAATGTATTCATAGTTACACATCATTTACCAATGGAAATATTGAGTCACCAGAAAAGTCATGATGCATTTTTCTCTGCAAACCAATATATTTTCCAGCAACCCAACATATTGTGAGAACTACATTGGTGATCTATTACATCAACAGTGAAGGAATATCATTGTAGGAACATCACTGTGGAATATCATAGTGTTCATTGTATGAACATCATAGTGTTCTAACAGTATGATAAAATAAAATAAATCAGGTACCTTGGTAATATTTGGTAATCTCATTTTAATGGAAATATTACCATAGAAGCTCATAATTACAGTCTTAAGTAATAGCAACATGGTGAGCTTTGCAATGATACATAGTAATGATGTATTATTGAAGGTCAAAGTTCTTTCTTTCTTTCTTTCTTTCTTTTTTTTGAGGAGATTTTTTTGCTATAGGACGCATGTGCACACCAGAGAGACAGAGAGACAGAAGGCGAGAAATCACTCCTCAGGGGGGATGGCCACGCTGCAATCCCTTCTCCTCCATTCTCCTCTCGGGATCTTGAGCACGCACGCACACACGCCCGGCGTGAGTTTTAAGCCACTGGGTCTGGGACACGAACCACAGTCAACTACATGGGAGTCCAGCAACATAGCCATTACGCTAACTGCTGGTCCTGAAAGTTCTTTCTTATGAAGATAGAAATGCACACATATCATCAGAGCTGTTTATAACATGCTACATTATGACCAATGACTCTCTTTTCTCCTCAGACTCCACAATCTGTGTGTACCCAGAAATGCGTCCCAGGATTCAGAAAAACTTCACAGGAAGGAAGGCCCATCTGCTGTTTTCTTTGTGTTTCATGCTCAGAGACAGATATTTCTAACCAGACAGGTAGAAAATACTTAACTACCCTGTGATAACTGCACCCCCTAAGTATTTCTCAAGTAATGAAAACCTAGTATGCCAACGATGAGGTCATAGCACACCAACGTTCTCAATACACACATTCGCTCATTCTTTCACAATGGCCACTGAATAATCACGATGCTGCCCCATTATGTGTAAGCTCTTGTCTAGCTCCACTTCCACAATAATCTCCTATCAGTGGCCCTGACCCCAGTGGGTGCTTTTTGTTATCATACAGTGCTTGGAGTGACAGTCTCAGGGTGACATCTCACAGGGGACCATGCTAACGTCTACCTATGAAATGGAACATGTGTAATCCTCAGAGCTACCTGTGAGTACCTTAATGGATTAAATGATCATTTTTCACACTCAGACGAGAAAATACAGATCAAATACACACACATTGTTATGGAGGTATTTCATTACTTTTTGTACCATGTCCTAAGCAGTGTGTGGTAAATACCTATGCCTGTTGATATTAAAACATTTTTAATGTTTTAAAGTGAAGACTCAACTTCTAATAATTGCCAAAATCTGGTACTTCTGAAAGCAGTTTGTTACATGATATTATTATATACCAAAAAGAAAAGGTATTATAAAATATAAAGTGCAGAAAGAGAAAGGAAATCATATGTCCATGGTCCAACAGATTAAACATGAACATTATAATAATTTGATGCAATTCTAATCATTTAACAGGAAGAATCACTAGGTTTCAGTCACCTGGCAGTGTATACAGGTATCTTCGAGTATAGAAAAGCCAGTATCAATAATACAGTTGTCTTCATCATGAAGGATTTACCAAATGAGATAAATGTGTAAAACAAGGCAAAGAATGAAGAGAAACACAGGATTTAGAACTCATAATATGCTAAATACATACCTGAATACACCAAGAAGGTCCATTCGCAGTCAGAGCACCTGCTGACTCTAAGAGGAGGAATGGGTTTATTATTGTTTTCTAATTCGACCAGAGACAGAAAAAGTGAGAAAGTAAGCCGCCAAATCGAGGACTCAAATCATGGTTGGCCATGAGGAAGTCAAGCACTCCAACCACCATGCCACCTGCTGGCCCCAAGAAAGGGTATTTCTACAAGAGGAAAGTGAAGAAGATTTACCCTTTTGACTATTTTAGAATACTGTATTATATCGTGTGAGTTTCCTTTAAGTAGAAAGACTAAGACTTTATAGGACATGAGTAGGCAATCTAACACCTATTTATATATATTTCATTGAGGGTCAGCCAGTGGTGTGGTGGTTAATGCATTTGGGTCCCATATAGCTGAATGTGTGGTTCAAGTGCTGGAATGAAAAAAATAATTTGGCAGGGAGAGGTTTTTGTTGGAATGAAAAAAAAAATTGTGATGGGGAGAGGTCTTTGTTATAGCGCATGCACTCACCAGAGAGACAGAGAGACAGAAAGCGAGAAATCACCCCCTGGGGGTGGCCACATGACAATCCCTTCTCCTCCATTCTTCTCTTGGGATCTTGGGCACGCACACACACACACAGGCCCGGTGTGATTTTAACCCACTGGGTCTAGGATTCAAACCTACATGGAGTTCAGCAACATAGCCATTATGCTAACTGCTGGTCCCCTAGAATTAAAATTTTAAAAACACATGGGGCATAAATCACAGTGAGAAGAATGAACATACTATAAAGTAGTACCTAGCTGGGACTATATAGCTTACTGCAGTCATCACATATACATTTTTTAAAATTTCTATAAGAACAGTTTCACTGTTTTATTTTTCTCCTGAAACTTTTTTTAATTACTTAACATTCATTCCCTGAGCATCATCACAACATACTAAATGTGGTTTCCCATCTAGAATAAACTGCATAGTGGCTTAATCATGCATGTTATCATCAATAATATTCCATTTCTACTTTCATATATATGTAT